GTGTATTTACACAAAGCAAGTCAGAGCAACTCACTGCACAAAAGGCTGCCTGCCTTTTATTCGGTCCACTTGATGATGAAGTTTCGGCGACGGTGGACCAATCAGTTACGACGAAAAATCGATAGCTACGGTGCGCACTGTCATTTCCGCGGCGTGAAAGCTGGGCTCCGACGCTTTCCTATGCTGTGATTCATTGTGGGAATGGACGTATTCCCAACAGTGTGCAACACGCACGACCCGGCAGCCCAACACAGCCCACAAGGATTTCCCACAAGGCAGTGTGCGGCTCGGATCTGATATGTGAGAAAGTACTACAGAGGCTATATGGAGGAGCGAAAGAGGGGTGCGTTGACACCCCTAGGTACAGACTCAACACCCACCTGCAACCAATCCCACCTTCGATGCTCTTGACTCTCACTTACGTGAGAGGTGTCAACTGCGTGCTTGCAAAAGGCGGTAGGACGAATTTGGCGGTCATGTGTTGAAGATGTGTGGTGATATGGTTTGCTGTCTTACCGCGTCAACTGTCCAAACTGACCACACAAACACACACACATCCAGTCACCACATGGACCTACTGGACTACGTACGCATCCACGAAAACCACACTGATAGGCATTAGTACCAGCAACTAGCCAACAAAGATCTCCAAAGTGAAAGAGTACTGTCGTCCAGTGAATGAGCAAATGGGGCCTTAAAAACGCGCTTCAGAGACTCGGTGACGGAACGTTGCAAGTTCTGATTGAAAATAAAATCTAACAACAGGTGGCAGAGTGACCACAATTTACCCAGTCATGATATCCAACTTTTCTAACCTCCATGAATACCCATGAGACGGCTAATGGGCAAAGCACCAAAGTTGAGGTTCACCAAGAGGTGTATTAAGTTTTAATGATTGAAAAAGAACTGACGTTACCAGCAAATTCTCAGATGCCAACAAAAAGGAAATTAAATTCCTTCAAATTGATCCCACATAGCTGATTTCTTAATCAGCTTCGCAGTCAGGAGTAATTGGCTCGTCCCTCTGAAGATAGCGACGGGGGCAGTATAGTTGGACTTTTCGTGACCGCCGTGTACAGCATTAAGTATGGTGTATACGCCCTGTGGTAATATGAGACCCATGTCTAACCAAAGAGGTCTCATGAGACGAGTCAGGTCCCACCAGGACAATTGACGTAAAACAAGAGTGAACAGCCAGCCAACTAATAATAAATCAGAGACAGATTCGCACGAAGTTATCCGACAACGAAGGTTTACCCCTGATATTCGGTTATAGCCACCTTTACCGGATAGTGTTTGCAACTTGCGTTACGGGTGCAGGGTTTTGGGGGTTGGTGTTAAGGTATGTGCGTAAGTGTGCAGCTATAAGAATGGTCCTATTTTTTGCTGGGCTGTCATTCAAACGGCAGGACGAGGAGTCGACTGTGCCAATTTAGAAAACGCGTATCCAAGAGGCGTATCCTAGGTTACAAGCACAAATAAGCTATCTAATCGATGGATTTTATGCCTCAAACTTAATAAAAGGGATTCGATGTTACCAGACGAAGGAATATAGCACTGGGAAATTAACAGACTATGGAATCTGGATGTGACTACATTAACTAAATTTATCATTAAAAATATGCGTCCCTCCAAGAGACAGATTTGCGAGCAGTTCTAAGTATAGCTGGGTACGTGTTAGTGCAAAGGTACTGTGCCAAGTGGTATTGAATACCGATTGTCGGAGAACACAACAGTGGATCCTCAACAAACCAATCTTTCAAAAATCAGTAG